ATCAGTTGGCTGAGAACAGCATTGTGGCACATGTGGTTAAGCCACCACTTGGGATGTTGGATCCCATATTAGTGCATCGGTTTGAGTCCTCGCTGCTCCACTTCTGATCCAGCACCCTGCTAACGTGGCTAGGAAAGCAGCAGATGACGACTCAAGTATTTGGGTCCCTGACACCAATGTAGGAGACCAGTATGGAGTTTCAGGCTCCTGGCTTTGACTGGGCCCAGCTGTTGTGGCCATTTAGGGAGTAACCCAGCAGAAGGAAGATTTCTTTCTCTAACTCTGCTTTTCAGATAAACAACTCTTTAAAAAATCAATTTGTCACTGGAGGAAAGGCTGTGGAAGCCGTGGGGTTTTTGTCTTCACGCAAGAAAGAATTCAGATGTGAGACAGAGAGCAGAGTAATATTATTGGGGGATAGGGCATCCGTCAGAATGGAAGGGAGAGAGAGAGAGAGAGAGCCCAGTCACTTGGACTGAGGGAGAACAGGTTACAACGTTGAGTGGAGAGAATTAGGCGAGCAGGCGGCTCAGCAGAGAGGCAGAGGACTGAGCGCATAGCCTGTTTGGACTCCTTGGTTTCTAAAGGAGCCTGTTTACCCACCTTCCCCTCTCCTCCAAGACAAAGGATGGAGAGTCTTGGAGGAAGGGTTTGTTGGGTGAAAATTAGCAAATTCCTCCCCAGATTTGCTGGGCCTGGCAGAGCAGAGGGGCTTCCCTTAGGGCGTCTGAGAAGGTTTTGTTGCCCCGTGTTATCAGGTCAGGTAACCCATCTGGTCCCCAGGAGAGAGAATCCTGGGAGCTTTCCTTGGGGGAAGGGCTGGGACCACCTGGGAGGTTATCAGGGTCTGGGCAGGATGTGAAGTGCAGGATGCTGGGCTTCTGGGGCTTCCACAGCAGGTGCTGGTCTTCACACACACAGAGGCTAAACTTCTAACTTCCCACCTAACAGATATGTTACCAGAGAACTGCCGAGTCCTTGTCTTTGTGCAAGAAAGAATTCAGGCATGAGACAGAGTAAGTGGAAAGCAAATAGCAAGGTTTATTAGGGCAGGGACATCCAAAAGAACGGATGGGCACCTCTCCAGACAGAACCTGAGAGAGTGCCCAGTTGCTTGGACTGGGTGACAGCGAGGTTACATGGTTGAGTGAAGAGAATACACCTGGGCAGGCCAGGCGGCAGCTCAGCTGAGAGGCAGAGGGCAGAGCGCACAGGCCGGTTGAGGCTGGGGGTTTTTAAGGGGATGGACCTTGCCTTTCCCTCCTCTCCTCCTGGAACAAAGGACTTTTTGGATGTAAATACAAAAAATTCCTTTCTGAGTTTTCCCCTGAAGTTATGAGACAGGGGGAAGCCTGGCTGGCATCGCCAGGCCTTAGAGGAAGGATGGTTATCCGGTAGAAGGGACAGGCGTTAGAAGTGCAGATACTGGGCTGCACCTGGAAGGTTATCGGGATGACTTTGAGATGCGGATGCTGATGTCAACTCCTTAGGCCTTTGTCACACCCCCATAAGCTCATATCTGACTTCCTACCTAACAGATACACTTCTGGGCTCTGAGCCCAAGGAGAATTAAGGACGCAGGTAGCACATGATGGAGCAGGGGCAGGGTGATGGCCTGATCCACAGTGAGCAGACACGGACTCCAAGGCTGGCCTGAGGACTGGGTGAGGACAAGGACCCAAGGAGAAGAGCGGCCTCCCTGTGCTGGCGACCAGGACTCCGGGAAGCGCCGATCTCTACAGCACGTGTGCCGAGAAGGGTCACCAGCTGTGCTGGCTGAGAGAGGCCGGTTCTCGGGGAGCACTAAAGACCAGCTCACTTCCCACACCTGGGCAGGGTTCCTGGTGTTTCCGATCTCAGGCTGACTCCCAGCTACCCCAGTGGTATCACAGGACAAGTAGTGCCCTGCTGGGGACCCAGCTATGGGACCCCCAGGCTTTTGTCGTTGGTCAAGTGGAGAAAAGAATGGAATTTCAGCAGAAGATGGGGATGCAGAGGGCCTGGGTGGTTAGTGGGTGGGTGCTTAAGTGCCACTGTCATGGCGGGTTTGAAAGGAAAGGCCATGACTGAGTCAAGAGGGGACCCACGGACTCTCAGACCGTGAAATATATAGGATGAGGGACCTGGTCCTAGAGCCAGGGAGGAGGTCCCAGGACTGGGGGACAAGCCGCACCTGCCAGGCTTTTCTCAAGGGCTGTCCTTCACCCGACGTGAAGATCATCCCAGTTCTCTGTGGGAGCCTGACCAAGCACCGCCTACCAGAAGCCCTCCAGGTTGTTCCAATAACAGCTCCTCGGCAGCCCCGCCCCCAACACCCTCCTGGGCCAGTGAACTTCCTGACTCCAGGATTGCAGAGAGGGTCCCAGGCACCGCGCAGTGGCGGGGACTTGGTGTAGGCCACTGCGCCGCGTCCCCACCTGCGGTCCCCGGGCCCCCAAGCGACCTCTGCCCGTTCAGTCCCGCTCTCCCGCCGGGCCCCCGAGCCCCGCCTACGCGGCGCGCCCCGCCTGCTCCCCGCCCAGGCCAGACTGGGGCCTGAGCGAAGCCGGGGTCCGCCCCTGGAGCGCCCGGGGCAGCCTCTGGGGCTCAGGAGCGCGGACCTGCCTCGGACCATGGGGACGCACCGACCGGGCGCGCAGCTCGGCGCCGTGGCCTGCGGGCTCCTGCTGCTCCTCCTTGTCCCAGCCCACGGTGAGGCTCCCGCGGGCGGCGACAGGAACCCGGGTCGGATCTGCCCAATCCCGCAGTTGGAGCCTGCGGCCGCGGGAGGGCAACGTCTGGGCTGGTGGAGCGGGCGGAGGTGACAGCGCGGGACCCGCGCGCCCAGGGTGGGCCCCTGAGGCTTGGAGAGCGTCGGGGCTGCCCGACACCCCAGACACCGAGGAGTGAGCCCGGCACGACGGCTCTGAGCAGCGCTCGTCTGGGTCAGCAGCCCCGGGCCAGGCGGAGGCGTGGGAACTGGTGGTTTCCTTCCCGTGCCTGAGGCTGAGCCGCAACTGCCCTGCCCCGCTGTCTTTGGGCTCAGCACCTGGCAGAAGCCCCCTGACCCTCTCCAGAGAGACTTCATACAAGATGGCTGGGCCTCTTAGAATCTGGAAGTCCTGAGGCAGCACAGGGGCCCTGGGAGACCACAGGGTCCCCGTCACCCCATACACCTGCCCTGGATGAAGCTGGACTTGGGCACCAGGGCAAAGGTTATGGTGCTCTCTGTCACCAGGGTCACACAGCTCAGGGGAGGGAAACACCCAGAGCAGCACCTGGGGCTCAAGGCCTCTGCTCCGAACTTCCTCACCTTCCACTCCTCCATCGGGCTCTCCCACCTGGGTGGAGGGGCCCAAGGACTTGGGCCGCCTTCCTGTGCTTTCCCAGGTGAGTAGCAGTGTTAGGTAGGAAGTCAGAAATGAGCTTATGTGTGTGTGACAAAGGCCTAAGGCATTGACATCCAGGTCCAGCATCCGCATCCCAAAGCCAGGTGCAGCCCAGTATCTGCACTTCGAAGATCCTGATGACCTTCCAGGGGGTCCTGCCCCCTCTACCCAATAACCAGCAGAGGAGGAGAGGGGGAGGGAAGGCAAGACCCATCCCCTTAAAAGCACCAGCCTGAATGTACGCTGTGCACTCTCTCTCAGGTCCTGTCTACAGAGGTGCCATCATGGATGTCCTACCCTAATAAACCTTGCTATGCTGCTTTCCCCTGCTCTCTGTCTCACACCTGAATTCTTTCTTGCGTGAAGACAAGGACCCTTTAGTTTCTCCGGTAACAGCAGGCAGCTGGATGGAGGCAGGGCAGCCGGGACTCAAACCGCTGCTGCTACATGGGATGCCAGCATCACCGGCAGCAGCTTAACCTGTCGTGCCGCAACGCTGGCCCCTTTCTGAGCATTTCCAGTCTGCAAGGTTACTTGCATCCCTGGTCACTGCACCTCCAGATGAGGAGACTGTAATTGAAAACCACAAGTGGGCAAAGGTGTCAGGTCCCAAGGTCTCCTGTGCCGCCATGCCTGGGCCTCCACAGGAACCGGCAGGGTTCCCAGGGCCTTGCACACAGAGCGCACTGCACACCACCGTGGATTTTCACCACAGTCACAGAGGTCAGCAGGTCAACTCTCCATCCCCTGCAACCCCAGCTCGAGCCGCAGGCAGCTGGCATCTGGCTGTGCTCACGGGTGACATCTCACCTCCGTGGGCTCGGGGAGAGCAGGAGCACGAGGGCCGCAGCACGTGTGGGAGCTGTGAGGCTGGTGCTTGCAGGTCCCATGGGTGGCTGGGAGGACAGGAGGGAGGCCACAGCAGCGTGTGGGAGGGCGGCTCATGGGGAGCCCCCACCTGATGCGCCTCTCTTCCCACAGGCCAGGACTCTGCCAGCCCCATCCGGAACACACACACGGGGCAGGTGCACGGGAGCCTGGTCCACGTGGAAGGCACCAATGCGGGCGTCCACACCTTCCTGGGAATTCCCTTTGCCAAGCCACCTCTGGGGCCGCTGCGGTTTGCACCTCCTGAACCTGCTGAAGCTTGGAGTGGAGTGAGGGACGGGACCTCCCACCCAGCCATGTAAGTCCTCCCAGGGACCCAGGGAACCTCCGGCCCTGGGGTGGGAGTCAGGGATCCTCTGAGCCAGGTCCAACTGTCCATTTATCCAGACTCTATAGCCGCCGTCTCTATGCACATTGTGAATTCCCACGTGTGTTTCCAGTGGGCCTGCTGAGGCTCAGGGTGGTGCAGTGGCTTTGCCAGGCTCCTGGCTCAGGACTTGGCACTTAGAAGGCATTAGCAGAAGAGATCCATCTCCTACATGCAGCTTATGCCACATGTTCCCTGCCACCAGGGCCACTGTCCCTGGGAGAGGTTCAGGTTGGCTCCGGGAAGCCACTCTGCCTGCATCAGCAGATCCTGCAGAGCCCTGAGGAGGGCAGCAGTTCCCTGGGCACACAATGCTCACAGTCTCTGAGCCAACAGACGGGGCCAGGTACACTGGCCAAGGGACGTGTGAACGCTCCTACAGATGGAAAGCGTGGACGTGGTGAAGTTCTCTGGATGAGGGATGTCCTGTTGTCCTCCCATGAGCCATGGCGTCCATGCATCGATGCAGCACTTGGGACTGACTACTGCCCTCTTTGGGGCCTGAATGGGTCCTGGGATATAGTAGAGAATGCCAACACCTGTTCTAATGCTTCCCTAAGAGTCAAGACTTCCTGTTCTGGGAAGAAGTGGTACCCAAGCCCTCAAAACCCTTGAGGCCTCCCTGGAAATCCAGATGCATCGCAGGTTCCCCAGAGTCTGAGGCCAGTACCATGATGGGGACATCGCTGAAGGTCATGTCTGAGCAGGGTATAAGGAGGGCAGGGGGATTGAGGGTGGCGAGGAGCAGATTGGGACCCCTGGGCTCACCCAGATGCTCTGACCCGTCCCCAGCATCATTGGTGTCAACAACGATGAGTATGGCTGGCTCCTCCCCATGGTGAGCCCCAGACCGAGTTCCTGAGTGCCCAGGGAAGCTCATCCACTGGGGATCTCAGGGCTTTTTTAGCTCCAGGCTCATCCACTTCCTTCTGGAAACTCTCTGCTCCCCAATCAGGCAGTTGACTCTGGTTATAACCAGAAGGACATGGACAGCAAGGCCATCTAGGATCTATTGAAGAAAACAGTCAAGGAGATGGTGAGGCTCCTGGGGCCCTGGCAGAGGGAGAGAGAAGCCTGCAGGCGCCTGCCCACACAAGGACCCCGCGAGCTAAGTCTGGGCTGCATTTGTGTTTACAGATGGGGACACCACAGAGCTGGGCCGTCCCACACCCCCTGGCCCATCCCAGTACCCATCTCCACCACCCCAAGGCTGCTGCCTCTCTGCCCAGAGTCTACCAAACCTGCTTCTAGATGCTGCCTCCTGGTTTTGGGGACATGCTGATGGAAGTGTACCTGGGGGAGAGTGAGGACCCCCAGACCCTCAAGGCCCAGTTCCAGGAGATGATGGCAGACGGCCTCTTTGTGATGCCTGCGCTCCAAGTGGCCCATCTTCAGCGTGAGTTCATCTATGACTGAGGCCTGAACAGCCAGCAGGCTGCTCAGAGCTGTGGGTCCTGGGCGTGGTCTGCCCTGTCCAGGTCCCCACCTGTGTCCCTTTGGGCCCCTGGGCACCAGGCACTCAGTGTCTGTCGTCTCAGGAATTGTTCATGGTGCTTTAGGAGACAGACATCTCCACTACGGCTCAGACGAGTGTGGGGAGCAATCCGGACTAGACTAAGTTACTCGAATTAAGACTTATTCTATGCATCTGCTCTCCCACAATATGGCGCTGGGAGAGAAGTAAACAGCTTCCGCACAGCTGCCTCCAGTTCAACCAATTAACTGTAGGACTTGCTCCTGATTGGAGAGCAGCGTACTCAGCCGAGTTGGGATTGGCGGAGGAGGACTATAAAGGAGGAGAGAGACGGCATGCACCAGGAACATCTATGGGGAACATCTATGGGGAACATCTATGGGGAACATCTATGGGGAACATCTATGGGGAACATCTAAGGGAACCCGTGCAGCCCCCGAGAGAACCGGCCGGCGGTGTGCCGCTCCCCTGCGGAAGTGGGGAATGCGGCCAGGGGGAACTGCCCTTCCACGGAGGTGGAAGGGATAGTAGCCAACCCGGGAAGAACCAGCAGCAAACCCGGGGAGGGCCGAGCAGACGAAAGAACAGCGCAGGGTCCTGTGTTGCTCCTCCACGAAGAGGGGGAGCGACATAATGGTGCCGTGACTCGGATATGAAGCCTAGGCAGGGTTCAGTGTTGCTCCTCCACGAAGAGGGGGAGCGACATAATGGTGCCGTGACTCGGATAGGAAACCTAGGACGGATAGGAAACTTAGGAGGGAAGAAATGACTCGGATAGGAAACCTAGCTCGGATAGGAAACTTAGGACGGATATGAAACTTAGGAGGGAAGAAACGGGAAGAACTGGGAAAATATCGGAGAGAGAAACTAGCAAACAGCCTAGGGAAATTACCGGAGAGAAAGACTAGCAAACAGCCTAGGGAAAAGCCGGACGAAAAGGGTGCCGGAAGAAGCTATTGAAAGCCTAGGCATAGATTCAGATACGGACTACGGGGGGAAGCTGGGAGAAATCTTTAAGGTCGAAAGCGAAAGTGAAAGCTAGAACAAACAGACTCGGACGCGGACTGTGGGGAGAGGCCAGGAGAAATGAGGGAGGAATATTGTTGGAGGAAAGCTTGGGGAAACATACCGGGTAGAGAAAAATGTTAGGGAAATTGAAGCCGCGGGGGGCAGGCCAAGGCGGAAACGAAAGCCACTTTGGGGTTCTCAAGTTAGCCCGGGAATAGGGGGCGAAAAGTTGAAACTAGAAGCTGAAACGTGAGCCTGGTTGGGATCCGTCTGATTAGCCCGGGGAGCAAAGGACGGGAAGCCAAACCGTGGGGCGGAGACGTACGCTGGGTTGAATTCGCCAGGCTAGCCCGGGGAACTTAGATTGAATCCTAGTGGCGGAGACGCAAGCTACGCTGTGTTACTCGCGGAAGCCGCCGCGTGCAGAGAGAGCACGGGGCGTGAATAGATAGGGAACGCTGGCGTAGGCCGTGGTTCAGACGCGAAAGGGTTAAGCGTGGAGACCGCGGAGCCGCGCAAAGCCGGGAAGCTGCGCAGATGAGAGAGGCGCGCGGGCTGAAGCGGTGCAGAGCCGGGAACCCGCCGGCGGGGCGAGGTGCCGGAAGGCTGCGGGGATAAGAGAAACAGAAGTTTTAGAAGTAAAGTGAGAGAAATGGGAATGCTGGAAGATAGAAGTGAAATGGGAGAGGTAGGAATGCCCGGAGATAGAGAAATAGAGAAAAATAAGGCCTCCCCTCAACATGCCAATTAGAAGGCTTGGATTCGGTCTGCCTAATCAAGTGAGGCGATGAGCACCTGCGGGCAGCTAGCAGCTTATGCGCCACAGGTCACCGAAGACAGGCACGAATTAACATCAGTAAAGCTTCCCCACAATGCAACAATTAGGAGGCTTGGATTCGGTCTGCCTGATTTAAGGCGGTAAGCGCCAGCAAAGCTCGACCAGAGTATGAGCTGCAGGTCACCGAAGATAGGCACAAACCAACACTAATAAGTCTCCCCCACAATACGGCAATGAGAAGGCTTGGATTCGGTTTGCCTGATAGGTTTTGTAAACACCTGCAGGCAGTTCTAGCAGAGCAGAGCATGCGCTGCAGGGCACCGAACACAGGCACGCATCAGCGCCTAAAAACCTCCTCACAATGGCGAAGAGAGGACCCGGATTCGGTTTTCCTGATTGATAGGACTTGTAAGAGCCTGTGGCAACTCTAGCAAGTACAGCAGAGTGTGTGCTGCGGGACACCGAAGACAGGCGCGTATCAACGCCAAAAAATAAAAAGAAAGGGGGATCTGTGGGGAGCAATCCGGACTAGACTAAGTTACTCGAATTAAGACTTATTCTATGCATCTGCTCTCCCACAATATGGCGCTGGGAGAGAAGTAAACAGCTTCCGCACAGCTGCCTCCAGTTCAACCAATTAACTGTAGGACTTGCTCCTGATTGGAGAGCAGCGTACTTGGCGTGTGGGCAGCCGAGTTGGGATTGGCGGAGGAGGACTATAAAGGAGGAGAGAGACGGCATGCACCGGGAACATCTATGGGGAACATCTATGGGGAACATCTATGGGGAACATCTATGGGGAACATCTATGGGGAACATCTAAGGGAACCCGTGCAGCCCCCGAGAGAACCGGCCGGCGGTGTGCCGCTCCCCTGCGGAAGTGGGGAATGCGGCCAGGGGGAACTGCCCTTCCACGGAGGTGGAAGGGATAGTAGCCAACCCGGGAAGAACCAGCAGCAAACCCGGGGAGGGCCGAGCAGACGAAAGAACAGCGCAGGGTCCTGTGTCGTTCCTCCACGAAGAGGGGGAGCGACAGACGAGGACACTGAGGTGACCGGGCTGCAATGCCTTACCTGAGACCACTCAGCCAGAGAGTTCAAAGTCATGAATGAGCCAGGCCTTCCCACTGCCCCTGATGCAGCCTGGGCCGTGCACAGCACACTGTCCCTATTCCAGGCAGCTACGGGCAGCCAGCTTGTCATCCTGGGGGAAGCATGTGAGCTTCAGGTACCTGACCTCCTGGCCACACCCGTCCTTGCCTCCAGGTCGCCACGCCCCCGTGTACTTCTATGAGTTCCAGCAGCGACCCAGCTACTGGGAGTACCTCAAGCCGCCCCACGTGAAGGCCGACCACAGCGATGAATTTCTCTTTGTCTTCAGATCGTTTTTCTGGGGCAACCAAGGTGAGGCTTCCTCCTTGTTCGGGTTGGGGAACGGGGTCTTCACTCTCCCTGTGGTGAGAGCGCCCTACTGCGCAGATGTGGGAATCGAGGTTCGCACAGGGCACCAGCTCAGGTGTCCTGTAGCTCATCGCTCAACACACCTGGCCACAATTAGAACCTGAGAGCCTTCAGACAACGACTTCTGCATCCCCCTCCACCCGCCCTGGGGGTCCCGATGAGGGCAGATGGTGGTGTTTCACGGGTGAGTTTGTTTCCTAAATGAGTCCCCAGAGTCAGAAGAAAGAAGGAAGCTCTGGCCCAGGAGTGAGCTGTATGCAGTGAGCGGCAGGCCGCATGAGCAAAGGGAGGTGCCAAGGGGAGGGCCTGGCTCTGGGAATGGTAGGGGTGGGGCAGAGAACCAGGCCTGGGGCCCCAGGGTCACAGTGCCCCTGGGCTGGGCAGCAGAGCTGGGGGGCTGAGCAGGGACCTTGTCTTCCTTCCCTCTGCAGTGCCCCTCACTGAGGAGGAGGAGCTGCTGAGCAGGAGGGTGATGAAGTACTGGGCCAACTTTGCTCGCAGCGGGTGAGACGACACCCCCCCCCCCAAATCCCCAGGGACCTGGGACCCTCTGCCCTCCCTCCTCTGTGGGGACCTCACCAGCATGCATGTGTTCTGTCTCAAGTGATAGTCCTTCAACCCTGGCACACACACGGGCCCTGGGCATGTGTGACACATGGAGGGTAGTCACACATGATACATTATCCTCAGTGATGGAGAAGACAGCCCAAGTTGCCCTGTCCCCACGTGGGGCTGATACTAGGGGGAGGTCATTGAGTCTCCTGCTTCTGGAAACCCATTCCCCACCCCTCCTGGCCTGCAAGGTGCCCCGGCCAGACCCCAGATAGGTGCTCAGGGCTGGGCTGGGCAGGGCTCAGAGTGACCGCAGTCCCCCCTTCCTGACGTCTTGTCTGTAGGAACCCCAACGGCGAGGGCCTGCCGTACTGGCCCGTGTTCGACCAGGACGAGCGATACCTGCAGCTGAACGTGCAGCCTGCAGTGGGCCAGGCCCTGAAGGCCCACAGGCGCAAATTCTGGACCAAATATCTGCCCCAGAAGGTCCAGGAGCTGATGGGGCCAGAGCAGAAGCACAAAGAGCTGTAGCCGCCTGTGTTAGGCAGGAGGAAGGGCTCAGGAGAAAGTGCCCTCACCACCCGCAGGGACTGCCGGCTGAATCCTCCATCCACGGCCATCCACTCGGCCGGCCCATTCAGCATTCATGCCGCAAACGTGCATGCAGCTACAAAGGTCAAATCAGATACTTAGCGCTCTTTGCTTTAAGGATCCTTGAACTCTGTCTTCTAGTTCTGTTGACATACACGATAAGGAGTAAACTTCAGTCACCCTACCGTGACCTAGAGCTCTACAACCTCTTGCTTCCAGCTGTATTCTGGTAACTGTTACCCAACCTCTGCAGAGGCTTCCCCTCCTGCCTCTCCTACCCGCTGGTGACCACTGTTGTTCTCTCTACTGCTACGGGGTCAACTTGTGTAGCTTCTACAAGTGAGTGCAGGGGTCAGTGCTGTGGCACAACCAGTTATGCCACAACCTGGGATGCCGGAATCCTATATGGGTGCAGGTTGGAGTCCTGGCTGCTCCATTTCCAATCGAGCTCCCTGCTAATGGCCTGGGAAGCCAGTGGAGGATGGTCCAGTACCTGGGCCCCTGCACCTGCATGAAGACCTGGAGGAAGCTCCTGGCTCCTGGCTTTGGATCAGCTCAGCTCTGGCCGCTGCAGGCATTTCAGGAGTGAACCAGCGGATGGAAGACCTTTCTCTCTCTCGGGCACTACCTCTCTCTGTAACTCTTTCAAATAAATAAAAATAAGTATTTAAAAAAAGTGAGTGTGAGCATGGTGCTTGTCTCTCTGCGGCTGGCTTATTTCACTTAACGCAGTGCCCTCCGTGCAGACACATTGCACAAGTGAGAGGATTTCACTCTCCTTTATGGCTGAGTCACACCGCATTGTGTATGTACCACAGCTTTACATCTTCATCTGCCCATCAACACGCAGTGCTTCCACAGCTCGGCTATTGCCCACAGTACTGCAGCGAACCCCGGCGCGCAGGTGTCTCCTTGACATGCTGCTCTCACTTCCTTCGGATATTCGCCCAGGATCAGGAATTCATCTGGTAGGTGTGTGTCTAGCTTTTTGAAGACCTCCCTAGATTCCAGCTAACCGCGTAGAGGAGTTCCCCCTCCTCCTCGTCGTCACCAGCATTTATCATTTTTGTCCTTTTGATGGTAGCCCTTCTAAGCAGGGTGAGATTGTTCCTAGTAGTGGTTTAGACCTCTGGGGAAAGACTTCTGAATATTGAGACAGGCAGAGTGGACAGTGAGAGAGAGAGACAGAGAGAGAAAGGTCTTCCTTTTGCCGCTGGTTCACCCTCCAATGGCCGCCGCTGCAGCCGGCGCACCGCGCTGATCCTGGCAGGAGCCAGGTGCTTCTCCTGGTCTCCCATGGGGTGCAGGGCCCAAGCACTTGGGCCATCCTCCACTGCACTCCCTGGCCATAGCAGAGAGCTGGCCTGGAAGAGGGGCAACCGGGACAGAATCCGGCGCCCCAACCGGGACTAGAACCCGGTGTGCCGGCGCCGCAAGGTGGAGGATTAGCCTATTGAGCCACGGCGCCGGCCTGGTTTTGACTTCTATTTCCTTGATAACCAGTAATGTTGGATGCTTTCAGAGTTTTTAGATTTTGTGTAGCATCTTTAGGAAACTTACGCATTCAGACCATTTGCCTTTCTAAAAGGCAAATGTTTGAGTTCCTTATATATTCTGGACATCAATCCCTTGTCAGATGAATCATTTGAAACTGTTTCCTCCCCTTCTGCTGGTGTTTCTTCACTCTGTTGATGGATTCCTGTGACCGCAGGGGCAGGGGCAGCACTCAGAAGCCATGGCGGGTTCTCAGCGGGTACCAAAGGCCACTCGAGGCTGGCCCCGACACTATTTCTCCTGGGACTGAGGCTGGATCCTGTGCCACGCTGGCTTCCCTGTAGCTGAAGGGACACCGGCTTTGGAAGCTGCCACTCAAGTGCGTGCCTCTCCAGGCGCTCGGGAGTGCCTCGCTGGGTTCAGATCCACAGGTTCCTATGAAATGTGCAGAACACACCTCTCTGGGGGGGAGCTGGGGACATGGAAAGTCACAAGTGATCAGGGGGATAGACCTTAAGAAGTGCCACCAACAGAGGGAGCCTTGGCCTAGCCGTTAAGACGCCACGTGGGACACCCACAATGATATATTGGAGTACCTGGGTTGGAGTCCCAGATCTGCCTTTTTTTTTTTTTTTTTTTTTTGATAGGCAGAGTGGACAGTGAGAGAGAGAGAGATAGAGAGAAAGGTCTTCCTTTTGCCGTTGGTTCACCCTCCAATGACCGCTGCGGCCGGCACGCTACGGCCGGCGCACCACGCTGATCCGAAGGCAGGAGCAAGGTACTTCTCCTGATCTCCCTTGGGGTGCAGGGCCCAAGTACTTGGGCCATCCTCCAGTGCTCTCCCTGGCCACAGCAGAGAGCTGGCCTGGAAGAGGAGCAACCGGGACAGAATCCGGCGCCCTGACCAGAACTAGAACCCGGTGTGCCGGTGCTGCAAGGCAGAGGATTAGCCTAGTGAGCCAAGGTGCCAGCCTCTTTTTCTTTTCTTTTTTTTTTTTTTAAGCTTTATTTATTTATTTGAAAAGCAGAGTTAGAAAGAGAGAGAGAGAGAGAGATCTTATATCGACTGCTTGTCTTCCCAGATGGCTGCCATGGCCAGATCTGGGCCAATCTAAAGCCAGGTGCCAGGAACCAGGTGCCAGGAGCCAGGAGCCAGGAGCCTCTTCTGGGTCTCCCATGTGAATTCAGGGGCCCAAGGAATTGAGCCATCTTCTTCTGCTTTCGCAGGTGCATTAGCAGGGCGCTGGATCGGAAGTGGAGTAGCCGGGACTCCAATCAGTGTCCATATGGGATTCTGGTGCCACAGGGGGTGCCCCCCTTATCTGTTCTTGATTCCAGCATCCTGGGCACACACACACTGGGCGGCAGCAGGTGATAACTCACCTACTTGGATCCCTACCACCCATGCAAGAGACCGGGACTGAGTTCCTGACTCCTGGATTTGGCCTGGCACAGGCCCAACCACCGCAGGCCTTTGGGGAATATCTCTCCCTCCAGACGCTAAGTCAGTCAATGATTAAACAAAGGGAAAAGAAGGACCAGGGTCATGTGTGCCTTTCAAAAGAGCCATGACTGAGTAGGGAGGGGCCTGTGGAGACAGCTGAACAGGTAAACTGAGTCCTGAAACCGGGGAGGAGCTGGCAGCGCTGGGGGCAGTCACCATGCAGCGCAGGCGCCAGCCCAGTCCCGTGTCCCCGCAGGTCATCCTGCTTCTCTCTAGGAGGGGTCCTGATCTTGCCCCAGACTCTCCTGGTTTTTGCAGTCACAGCCCATTGCTCCCTGCTCTCCACCTCCTGGGCCACAGCTGCCAGAACAGTGAGCACAGGAACCCCAGGACAGAGGGGAGGGTCCCGGCACACCACGCAGGGGCCTGATAGAGGGGAGGAGGCCATTCCTCACCTGTGTGCTGGCCTCTGCCTGCTCAGTCCCACTCTAGCCTGCCCCCCAAGCCCCACCCCGGGCTCGCCTCGCCTGCTCCCCGCCCAGGCAAAACTCCCCTTTGGGCGGGTTGGGTGAGGCCCTGATTCATTTATGGAGCGCCTGGCCAAGCTTCGGCCCACAGCAGTGCACTCACGGACCTGCCTCGGACCATGCGGCCGCACTGACAGGGCGCACAGCTTGGCACCATTGTCTGCGGGCTCCTGCTGCTCCTCCTTGTCCCAGGCCATGGTGAGGCTCCTGCGGGCGGCACAGGGACCCGGTTCGGATCTGCCCAATCCTGGGCAGTGGGGTCCCAGGGGCCTGGCTGCTGTCAGAGGTCAGAATGAGTGGGTCCTGGATGGCCCCAGGACACTGCCATCATCCTCATGCCCAGGAGACTCACTCTGCTGTGTGGTGAGGGCTGACCTTGGAGGTCACACAGGAAGTCAGCCATGGGCGCTTGGGCAGCCCATGGGGAGGGAGGGCACTTTGAATAACATCCATGTGTAAGGACCAAGAGACAGCATCATAAAATACCTACAACAAACACTTTCTCCCTGACCCGTGTGACCCCACAGGCCTTCATGCTCATCCCAGGGGTGGTGGACGGAGTCTTCCTGCCCAGACACCCCGAGGAACTGCTGGCCTCGGCTGACTTTCAACCCGTCCCCAGCATCATTGGTGTCAACAATGATGAGTATGGCTGGGTCATCCTCAAGGTGAGTGCCCACATTGCCCATGTGGTGGGCAGGTTTCTGGGCTTCAAAACTCTAGGCACAGCCATGCCAACATGGGACTCTCGCCTCTCCTTTAGGTCCTGTTTGCCACTGACCCTCAAGAGGAGAGAGACAGACAGGCGATGCGGGAGATTATGCATCAAGCAACAAAACAGCTGGTGAGGCCCCCAGGCTCCTGCCACAAGAGAGTGCATCCCAGACACCTGCCCACACAGGGACTCCGGGAACCAAGGCTCGGCCGTGTGTTGGGGAGGGGTCTCCCGTAGCCTGGTTCTTCCCCCAGTTTCTGACTATACAGGACCTCCGGCCCCCAGCCTGAGCCTGCTGCCTCCCTCCCAGGAGCTGCTCCCCTCACTCCTTCCCCTTCCCCTGGGCCAGATGCTGCCTCCCGCTTTGGGGGACCTATTGATGGACGAGTACATGGGGAGCAATGAGGACCCCAAGACCCTCATGGCCCAGTTCCAGGAGATGATGGCAGACGCCATGTTCGTGATGCCTGCACTCCGAGTAGCACATTTCCAGCGTGAGTTCATCTGGGACTGAGGCCTCACTCGCTAGGGGCAGCTCAGAGCTGGGTCCTTTCCTGAGGGTGACGCCTGTCCTGTCCTGGTCCTGATCCACGTCTTAAGTAGGGCTCAGGGTGCCGGGCATTTGCTGTTGCTCCTCCCAGTAACCCCCAATTTCAGCTCTGGATATGGACATCTCCGCTATGGAAGGGAGGAGGAGACAGCTGAGTGAGCTCCACTCACTGTGCCCAGACCTGATAGCCACGAAGTCTAAGGCAAGATCTAATCCAGGCCTTCCTCACTGAACCTGAACCCCCAGGGATTCTGTTATACTGCCAGGACCCAGCCTAGTGTGGCAGTGATGTGTCGTCCCCTGTGGGGACGCTGAATCCGGAGAGGCCTAGAGGAACTTCCTGAGCCTGCCGCGAATTTGAAAACCTGACTTTAAGTTTCAAATCCCTGGTAGCAAACACCCCAGCCCAGGGCGCTTCTGCCTAAGGATCATTAAGGTGGTATAATAGGAGTGGCTAGGATCTTTTGCATCACAACACCCCACCCCTTGCCCGCATCTGCTCATCTGCTCTGTACCATCCGCTCTGTACCTCAGCTATATATACACCTCCCTTTTACAATAAAGTGAGACCCTGCTTCGACTGGGCTCCACACTGTCCCTGATTGTCCCCCAGGTTTGGGGAAGGCTGAGTGGCGGCCTGCCTAGTTCTCCGGCGGTGGCGAGGAACAGTCACCGCAGTCCCCATGGTTACCCATCTCGCCCTGTCCATCCCCAGGTTCCCACGCCCCTGTCTACTTCTATGAGTTCCAGCATCGACCCAGCTTCACAAAGGACCTCAGGCCGCCCCACGAAAAGGCCGACCACGGTGATGAGCTGCTCTTTGTGTTCAGATCGCTTTACTTTGGCAGCAAAGGTGAATCTTCCTCCCTCGCCAGGATGGGATGAGGTCCAGGCTCTCTCTGAGGGGCTCTGCACCCCCACTGGGATGAAAGCAGGAGGCTCAGATGGGATCCAGGGTCCAAAGTCTTACAGCTCAGAAGAGGGCGGAGTCAGGTTTGGGTCTGAGAGTCCACAGGGTGCAGCCTCTGCCCCCTCCTCCTCTGCCAGGCCAGGATGAGTGTCTAGCCTGGGTGTACAGCAGGTTCAAAGTCTGGTCTATTTCCTGAACAATGTTCCAGGGACAGAGGGAAGCAACCATCCAATCAAAGAAGCCAGTGTCAATGACTTAGGGGATGACTGGGACATGAAAATGACACACACCTACCAGATGAATTCCTGATCCTGGGCGAATATCCGAAGGAAGTGAAAGCAGCATGGTGAGGGAAGACATAGAGGTTGGCGGGTAGCCGAGCGTCAGCTCCACCTGGGCTGGTGAGCGTGGTGCATGATGGGCAGCAGGACTGGGGTGGCCGAGCTGACCCTGCCCCTCCCCCATGCAGTGCCCCTCACTGAGGAGGAGGAGCTGCTGAGCAGGAGGGTGATGAAGTACTGGGCCAACTTTGCTCGCAACGGGTGAGACGACCCCCCCAAATCCCCAGGGACCTGGGACCCTCTGCCCTCCCTCCTCTGGGGGGACCTCACCAGCATCCAGGGTCCTAAGTCACGTGCCAGCTCCCTCCCCAGCTCTGGACCCACTGGCACTCACAGGGGCCCAGGACCAGGCACATCTTCCCATCTCCCAGTGACCTTGGGGTGGGCCACGAGCTGCTCACATCTGCTTCCTGACATCTTGTCTGCAGGAACCCCAACGGCGAGGGCCTGCTGCACTGGCCCATGTTCGACCAGGATGAGCGATACCTGCAGCTGAACGTGCAGCCTGCAGTGGGCCAGGCCCTGAAGGCCCGCAGGCTCCAGTTCTGGACCCACACCCTGCCCCAGAGGGTCCAGGAGCTAAGAGACGCTGAGCAGAAGCACACAGAGCTGTAGCTGCCTGTGTGGGGGTTGGGGCCCCTGGTAGGCTCATATACCCCCACGGAGGAGCCATGCATTCAGCACTCTCACGTGACCACTCAGTCCTCCTGGCCTCCATCCACTCAGCAGACCGTTGTGAAGAACCCACAGCATGAGGTTCCTTGCCAAGCCTGCCCTGGGCCCCTCGTGTGAGACTCACTCAGTACACCTCCATGCAGCTGTGTTGGGCAACACCAGTGCCCACCCAGCTTGCTCAACACCCACTGGACTCTGGACCCCTCCTGCTTCTTGCCCCTCCTCCTTCTCCCCACCCTCCCTCTCCTCTCCTCCCAGCCCCAGGCCCTCCCCACGTGGAGGGAGCTGGTTGGGGATTGTTACCCACACAGGCTACCTTAGGACCCCTCCTTCTCCTCCCAGCATGCCCTATGATCTCACATCTTAATGGCCACAGAGCACCTGGACTCCTGCAGTCACCGTGGCTTCGTCCCGGTTGGCTGCCATGAGTGGCGTTCAATCCCATCCATGCAGCCACAAATAAAGGGTTTTAGTCCTTTCACGGCTGAGTCGCATTCACCTGAGTGAACCTGCCACGTTTTCTTAGACCATCAGCTCTCAAGAGACACCTGGTTACCTGAACGGCTGGGATACCATGAATCATAATGCAGAAAACCTGGAGTATAGGGCTGTTGCTTTCACAGGGCGTTAAGCCTCTACCCATGTTGCTGACATCTCATATGAGGACAGTTCAGGTCCCAGCTGCTCCACTCCTGATCCAGATCTCTGCTAAGGCACCTGGGAAAGCAGCAGAGGAGGGCCTAAGGGCTTGGGCCCCTGCCACCCATGTGGGGTACACAGATAATGTTTCTCCCTCTGGACATGGCCTGGGCTAGCCCTGGCCATAGTGGCTGAGAGAGCCCTGGGCTGAGCAGAGGTCAAGGCCAGTTCTCAGGGAGCACAAAGTCAGCCTTCATGAGCCAGGGTCCACTTCCCCTGGGGGCTCCCGTGCCCAGGCTGCTCCTCCTTCCTGCAGGGAGCCTGATGTTTCCTACACTCAGGCTGACTCCCGCCCCCCCCCCCCCCACTGCTGTCACAGGACCACACGTACCCTGCTGGGTGCCCGGTGGGGAAGGTGTGGGCCCTGGGTCTTACATTTCACTCAAGCTTCTTGTCCCCATGGAGATGAGGATTCACAGCAGCAGCAGCCACAGGCAGTGCACAAAAGCAGCTTTTATTATTTTTTTTATAGAGGTACCAACACCTTTTCTATTCCTTGTCTTTTTATTTTATTTTTATTTTATTTTATTTTTTTGACAGGCAGAGTGGACAGTGAGAGAGAGACAGAGTCAGAGAGAAAGGTCTTCCTTTGCTGTTGGTTCACCCTCCAATGGCTGCCGCGGCCAGCGCACCGCACTGATCTGAAGGCAGGAGCCAGCTGCTTCTCCTGTTCTCCCATGGCGGGCAGGGCCCAAGCACTTGGGCCATCCTCCTCTGCACTCCCTGGCCACTGCAGAGAGCTGGCCTGGAAGAGGGGCAACCGGGACAGAATCCATTGCCCCGACCGGGACTAGAACCCTGTGTGCCGGCGCCGCAAGGCAGAGGATTTTCCTGTTGAGCGACAGCACCGGCAAGCAGCTTTTATTTCAAGGAGAGAGAGCGTGACCACACCTGCACGCCTACTGAGGGCCGCCACACACACGGAGAGACACTCAGCAGGAATGGGCCAGGGTTGCCAGGGGGAAGAGAGGAAGAGGCAGCCCAAGGAGGATTCCCAAGCACAGCCAGGGGCAGAGAGGGCCCTCCCCTTTCTCATCCCAGGGGGCGGTGCCCTAAATGCATAACCCAGTGGGGTGGCATCTCACCTGTGGGAATAGTGAAGGGATTGCCATGGCCCCTCCATCCAGAATTTCTCTTCCATGTTTCCATCATGGCTTCTCCTTCCTGGTCCCAGCTGAGACACAGGTGCATCCTGGGAAAGTGGTGTAAAAGACTGACAAGCAAAGGGATAAAGTTGCAATGCAGGGCTGGCAAAGTTCCAGCTCCCGAATTCCCGTTGCTCTTCCTGCCTGGTTGCCAGGTATTAGGACCAGCAGGTTTTCACTGTCAAGGAGAGGACAGAACTGTGTCTCAGAAGCAGCTGGGGACACAGCACACATTGGGTTCACCCTTAGTTAGTGCCATGGTCACTGCCTCTCAAAACCTGGACCCTGAGTGAGCAGGGAGGGGATGGGCAGAGTCGGGAAAGGATGGAGGAGGGGCCTGGACCCAGTGGGCACCCAGCCTGGAAACCAAGGAGGAGCTTCCAGGATCCAGGACAGTGACACCTGCCAGCCTTGGCTCAGGTGACCCCTGGGGCAGGGGCTGTGGCACAGAGCAGTAAGCCACCATCTGCAGTGCCTTCATCCCATGTAGGCACAGAACCGAGCCCCGGCGGCTTCACTTCCGATCCAGCTTCCTGCTAATGGGCCTAGGAAAGCAGCAGAAGGCCCACATGCTTGGGCCCCTGCGCTCACCTGGGAGACCCAGAAGAAGCTGCTGGCTCCTGGCGTTGGACTGACCCAGCCCTGGACGTTTGAGACTGACCCTGTAGATGGAAGATCTCTCTCTGTATCTTCCTTGACTCTTTAACTCTGCCTTTCAGATAAATAAAAAAAGAAATAAATCTCTTTTCTGCATGTTTTAATCTCCTCTGGAAAGGCTTCCTGGGTGCCCAAATACAGCCCAGTGCAGCTTGCCGTCCACCCCACGCTATCCTGGACCAAGTGTCAGGACAGTGAAGTTGGTGACTCCAGGACTGAACTGATGTTCCTGTACACGCTCCCCCCTTCAGGAGCCCGGAGAGAGAGGCAAGGCAGACATGCCAGATTAAACACGTGACCTCTGCTCTCTCAGTTCCTTCTCATCCCAGGCGTACATCCCCTATCGCGCGGTGTGCCCCGCCTACTTCCTGCCCAGGCCAGGGGCGAGGCCATGATCCCAGCCTGAAGCACTGGGTGCAGCCTGCGGGACACACAGAGGTACACACCCGCGACTCCTCAGAGCATGGGGCTGCACCGAAGGAGCGCGCGGCTCAGCGCCCTGGTCTGCGGGCTCCTGCTGCTCCTCGATCCGGGTCAAGGTGAGATTCGCGGGCAGCAACAGGGACCAAGGTCAGATCTGCCCAATCCCACAGTTTGTGCCTGCAGCCAAGGGAGGGCAGCGCCTGGGAGGCTGCAGCGGGTGGAGGCGACAGTGGGGGACCTGGGCGCCCACCATGGTCTCCTGAGGCTCCAGGCACGGAGGAATGAGCCCAGCACGAAGGCTCTGAGCAGCGCTGGTCGGGTCGGCAGCCGGGACAGGAAGGGGCGTGGGAAATGGGGCCCATTTCCTCCCTTGCTTGAGGCTGTGGTGACTGTGCCCTCCCCAGGACACTGATGAACCTGCCCTGGGCTGTGTGTCTGCCAGGGTCTCCTCTGACCCTGTGCACCTGGCAGGGGTCCTCCTGGGCTGGATTCCAGGGCAAAGCTGACCACACCTCCGTGCCTGGCATTCTGGGAGCCCAGGCCAAGAGGGCACCACACCTGGGTGTGTCGTGGAGCCTTTATCTCCTCATTCCAAAGGCCCAAGACTGGAGCTGGCATTGCAGAACAAGTCAGCACTTGTGACACTGGCGGCCCCTAGGAACACTGGCTCCAGCTCTGCCTGCTGGTCTCCCAGTGCAGCTGCCTGTAATGTGCCTGGGAAAGCAGTGGAAGATGGCTCTGTCCCAGGCCCCTGATGCTCCCACGTGGGAGACCCTGCTGGAGTTCAAGGTTCCTGGCTGAGGCCTGGGTGGGCCATTTGGGAGCTGAACCAGCAAATGGGTTCTCTCTCTCTCTCTCTCTCTCTCTCTCTCTCTCTAACTAGATCTTTGCAAAAAATAACTTTTTAAAGAGAATTAAAAATCATGAAAAGCCAGGTCTCTAACCCCACCCTCTCCCTATCTAATCCCCAGCACAGGCCCCACTCCTCCTCCTCCATGCTCACCCACGGGCTCCCCGCCTGCCCTGCAATGCACAGACTCTCCCGGCGACCAGGACCTTCCAGGCAGATCGTCTCCCCCACATCACTGTGGCTCCCAATAAAGTAATATCTGGGGCTGGGTCCCCACTCAGAGAGGGAGCAGTTGTTCCCAAGGTCCCTGGGAGTCGCTGTGCGTGTCCGGGGCAGGAACCGCGGCAGCGTCTGCACGGAAGCCACCCCTGTCCTCCGTGGACTCTGCTGAGCTCAGCTTACTGTCAGCCTCACAGCCGGAACTGCTGCTGCGGGCAGCGCTGTCCTCCATGTTTGGGGCGAACGACAAGGACAAGGTCGGGACCAGCTCAGGACAGAGGCGCTGTTTACTTACCCGATCCAGGGCCAGGCTCTCCTCTCCCTGACCCAGGGGCCCAGAGCACCCTTGTGGCCAGGCATCGCCTAATGTGACATGGGAAGTCTGATTTCCAGACAGAAAGGAAAAACAGATCTCACATGATTTGATCCCCTCCACATGTGTGCATAACAGTCAGGGCTGGGCCAGTCCAAAACCAGGAGCCATCCAGGGCCTCCAGGAGGGTGCAGGGCCCAGGCGCTGGGGGATTCTACTACATCCCCAACCCATTAGCAGGGAGCTGGATCCAGGGTGAAGCAGCCAGGATGGAACTGTGTAAGGGATGCTGGCAATGCAGGCTGTGGGTGCACCCGAGCGCCACTACACCGCCCCCTAGAGGACGCTTCCTTTCTTCCCTTCTTGTGGCCTGGAGCATGAGCCTCCTAGCAGGGGAGCCTGGTCAGTCTGGTGCTCACAGCTCTACCTCCTGGGACCGAGGGCAGTCAGCAGAAAGGACGCTCTCCTCGCCCCCAGGGCTGTCACCTGCGCTGACTCCTAGTGCTCAGGGAGGGTGCTATGGCCCCAGGAGCCTCGGGAGCTGTGGGATGTCCTGGGCTGGGCTCAGGGACAGCACTGCTGGCTGGGAGATGGGGGAGAGTTTCTCATGCAGGACGTTGGTCAGGTCAGTGTTTGTAGGTCCGAGGCCTTGGCAAGGCTGAGGTGCTGATGCCAAGGAGAGGCCACAGCAGCAGTGTGGGTGGGCAGCTCATGGGGAGCCCCCACTGATGCGCCTCTCTGCCCACAGGCCAGGACTCTGCCAGCCCCATCCGGAACACGCACACGGGGCAGGTGCGCGGGAGCCTGGTCCACGTGGAAGGCACCGATGCGGGCGTCCACACCTTCCTGGGAATTCCCTTTGCCAAGCCACCTCTGGGGCCGCTGCGGTTTGCACCTCCTGAACCTGCTGAAGCTTGGAGTGGAGTGAGGGACGGGACCTCCCACCCAGCCATGTAAGCGCTCCCAGGGCACAGGGAAGCTCCGGCCCTGGGGTGGGGTCGGGGAAAGATCTTCTGAGTTCTAGGCCAGGCCAGCTGTCTGGGACAGAGCTCCCATGACCAGATTTCCCTGTGTGTGATGGCTCCCTCGTGTGTTATTCAGTGAGTCTGCTTAGGCTTCTGGATTCAGTGACCATGAAATGCTTTGGGGCCAGAACGTGGCACTCAGAGCACGTTAAATCCAGGTACAGAGAGAAAAGCAGAGACGCTCTTCTGTGTCCAGGAGAGGCCACAGGCTCTCTGCCTGCAGGGGGCGCTGTGTCTGGGTGAGGTTCACCTGGCTCCACATGCTTGTAGGAGGCCCTGACTCCATCAGCAGATCCTGCAGCTCCCTGAGATGGGCACCAGAGGGGGTCATCATGGTCACTGAGCCAAGGACAGGGCAAGGACATTGGCCAGGGACCCGTGTATGCCCTTAGGACTGGAGACTGTGGGAACGGGGAGGTTCCTGAGTCTAGAGTGAAGGTGAGGGTCGTCCACTGCCCTTCCCGGGGAAACGCCATCCGTCCATCCAGGCTCGTGTGCGGGAGGCTGGCCTGCTCCGGCGTGGCTGGGTCTGGGCATCCAGCACTGAGTGTCCCTCCTGCAGTCACGACTTCCCACAGAGTCCCCTGTCAGTCAAGAGTGGTCCCCAGATGTAGGGAGCAACTGGGAGCAACTCGGACTAGACTAAGTTACTGGAATTAAGACTTATTCTATGCATCTGCTCTCCCACAATATGGCGCTGGGAGAGGAGCAAACAGCTTGTACGCAGCTGCCTCCAGTTCAACCAATAAGCAGCAGGACCTGCTCCTGATTGGAGGAGAGCAGCGTACTCGGCGTGTGGGCAGCCGAGTTGGGATTGGCGGAAGAGGACTATAAAGGAGGAGAGAGACAACATGCACCAGGAACATCTATCTGAAGGAACACCTGTGCAGCTTCCGAGAGAGCCGGCTGGCGGTGTGCCGCTCCCCCGCGGAAGTGGGGAAAGTGGCAGGGGGAACCGCCCTTCCACGGAGGTGGAACGGACGGTAGCCAACCCGGGAAGAACCAGCAGCAAACCCGGGGAGGGCCGAGCAGACGAAAGAACAGCGCAGGGTCCTGTGTCGTTTCTCCACGAAGAGGGAGAGCGACATAATGGTGCCGTGACTCGGATAGGAAACCTAGGCAGGGTTTTGTGTTGTTCCTCCACGAACAGGGGGAGCGACACCCAGACTCTCAGACACCTGAGGTTCCCTGATGTTGGACCATCCCAGCTCACCCAGAGTCCAGGACCTGGATCCTGGTGGGAAGTGTCTTATGGAGGCCCATGAGTGAGCAGGGCTGTAGGAGGAGGCCCGGGAGGGTCGGGCACACTAGACCCAGGCTCTAGACTAATGGCTGCCTTGGGTGGCTCCAGGTGTTTGCAGAACTTTGCTGTGATGGGTCAAAATGTTCTGAAAATAAACTTCACCCCGCCGTCCATCTCCATGTCCGAGGACTGCCTGTACCTCAACATCTACTCGCCTGCACATGCCCGTGAGGGCTCTGACCTGCCTGTGAGTGTGGGGCAGGGTCGGCCGGGGTGGGAGGGCATTGCCTTCTGCTAGAAGATGAGAAAGGAGAAGTTGAGCACGGGCCCTCCTGTGAGCACACCCTGTCCAGAAGCCTCTCACTATCAGAGCCAAAAAGAGCAGCTCCCCCATGGTGGGCAGCTGAGGCCTGGGCGTGGGGTCCCAGGGGCCTGGCTGTTGTCAGAGGTCAGAATGAGTGGGTCCTGGATGGCCCCAGGACACTGCCATCATCCTCTTACCCAGGAGACTCACTCTGTGTGGTGAGGGCTGACCTTGGAGGTCACACAGGAAATCAGCCATGGACGCTTGGGCAGCCCCTGGGGAGGGAGGGCACTTTGAATAAAATCCATGTAAAAGGACCAAGACTCAGCCCTTAGCTTTCCACCTCACTGCAGGTTCTGGAATTGACGCAGCCAAGCTCTGAAACAAGGGCTAGAACTCCAAGGATGGGAGGCCTGGCCTTCCTGGTGTTACTTGGGCCCCTGGCTCATGACCCAGATCCTGCTGTCTGGGTGGAGTTCAGTGTGCTGGGCACCTGCACAGACCCCAGGCCCTGGTTAGACCAAGTGGGGGATGAGCAGGCTTTAGGCTGGAGGGAGCCACGTGGTATGTCGTTGATTACCCCAGGTGATGGTGTGGATCCACGGTGGTGCGTTCACTATGGGCATGGCTTCCATGTGTGACGGTTCTGCGCTGGCGGCATTTGAGGATGTGGTGGTGGTCACCATCCAGTACCGTCTGGGAGTCCTGGGCTTCTTCAGGTGAGACCAGGGCTGGGGTGGGCCCTGCGGGATAAGTAGCACCTGGACAGCCCTGTGACCCCTGTCCCTGCCACTTCTCAGCACTGGAGACCAGCACGCCACCGGCAACTGGGGCTACCTGGACCAAGTGGCTGCGCTGCGCTGGGTCCAGCAGAATATCGCCCACTTTGGAGGCAACCCTGGCCGGGTCACCATTTTCGGCGAGTCTGCAGGTGGCATGAGTGTGTCCTCCCATGTGCTGTCACCCATGTCCCAAGGTCTCTTCCACGGAGCCATCATGGAGAGTGGGGTGGCCCTGCTGCCCGGCCTCATCACCAGCTCGTCTGAGGTGATCTCCACAGTGAGTGTCCTCACTGCCCAGCCAGCACTGCTGCTCCTGCCTCTATTACAGTCTCAGGGAAATGAGCACAGCGTGGACCATTGGGAGTGTGGGCTCTGCTGTCTACTGGTGACTGCTGAGCTCTCCGTGGTCAGAATCCACACACCTGAGCCACAGCACAGGAAGAACTGGTTCTCGGCTCCACCAAGCTGCCCACCTTGAGCCCAGATTGTAGCAGCTAGGTGCTGCCGTTGTGGCTGGGCGGTACCAAGTCATGGGGAAGGAGCAACAATCAGCTTCCAACTGCAGCCGTGTGCACACCACACCCCGTGTGATTTGGGGGTACATCTGCCTTCAATGGGGCCGTGGGCAACCCCAGTCTCCAGCATGGCTGTGCCAGCCCCTGTGTGGTCCCGTTGCAGGTGGTGGCCAACCTGTCTGGCTGTGGCCAGGTGGACTCTGAGACCCTGGTGCGCTGCTTGCGGGCCAAGAGTGAAGAGGAGATGCTGGCCATCACCAAGGTCGGGCCCTGTGCATGTGGGTGAGGGGGTGATGGGCTTGTGTGCAGTTCATAGTCCCCGGGACAGCTTCCTCCCATCCATGCCTCCTGACATCCCAGCCCTGGATGAAACAGGGGACCCAGTCCTGGATGCCAGGCTGGAGACCCCATGGTGGGAGTGAGCACCATGGGCTGATCGAGGCATGGGGGATGTAGACAGAACAAACTCAAACTTTCTCCCTGATCCCACGTGACATCAGGTCTTCAAGGTCATCGCAGTGGTGGTGGATGGAGTCTTCCTGCCCAGACACCCCGAGGAGCTGCTGGCCTCGGCTGACTTTCAACCCGTCCCCAGCATCATTGGTGTCAACAACGATGAGTATGGCTGGATCCTCCCCCAGGTGAGCCGCAGCCCCAGTTCCTCAGTGCCTGCACAGACTGTGTGGTGAGCAGTCCTCTGGGCTTCAAAGCTCCAGGGTAGCCATTCCCAGCTTGGAATTCTCCCCTCTCTACTCAGCTCCTGTTTGCCACGGACCCTCAAGAGGAGAGAGACAGAGGGGCCATGAAGGAACTAATTCATCAAACATTTGAACAGCTGGTGAGGTCCCCGGGCTCCTGCCCCAACAGTGCACATCCCAGACACCTGCCCGCACAGGGAATCTGGGAACCAAGGCTCAGCCATGCGTTGGGTGGGGTCTCCCGGAGCCTGGTTCTTCCCCCAGTTTCTGACTATACAGGACCTCCGGCCCCCAGCCTGAGCCTGCTGCCTCCCTCCCAGGAGCTGCTCCCCTCACTCCTCCCCCTTCCCCTGGGCCAGATGCTGCCTCCCGCTTTGGGGGACCTGTTGATGGACGAGTACATGGGGAGCAATGAGGACCCCAAGACCCTCATGGCCCAGTTCCAGGAGATGATGGCAGACGCCATGTTCGTGATGCCTGCACTCCGAGTAGCACATTTCCAGCGTGAGTTCATCTGGGACTGAGGCCTCACTCTCTAGGGGCAGCTCAGAGCTGGGTCCTCTCCTGAGGGTGACGCCTGTCCTGTCCAGGTCCTGATCCATGTCTTAAGTGGGTCCCAGAGTGCCGGGGACTTGGTGTTGCTCCTCCCAGTACCCTCCATGACAGTTACAGAGATGGACATCTCGGCTATGGAAGGGGGGAGGAGACGGGGCTGTGAGCTCCACTGATTGTTTCAAGACCTCACAGCCACAAACCTCAAGGCTGGATCTAACCCAGGGCTTGCCCACTGCACCTGTTCCCCCTGCTTCCTCTCCCCAACTGTCCAGGACCCAGCCTGGTGCAGCAATTACATTTCATCACCATGGTTATTGTAGGAGAACACCGGGAAGGGGACACCCATCTCCCTGTCTGTCCCCAGGTACCCACGCCCCTGTCTACTTCTACGAGTTCCAGCATCGACCCAGCTTCACAAAGGATCTCAAGCCGCCCCACGTGAGGGCCGACCACGGCGATGAGCTGCTCTTTGTCTTCAGATCATTTCTCTTTGGCAGCAAAGGTGAATCTTCCTCCATTACCAGGATGGGGATGAGGTCCAGGCTCTCCCGGAAGGGGCCCTGCGCCCTTCCTAAGGATGAAAGGACGAGGCTCAGTGGGATCCAGGGTGCATTCAGGGAGCAGAGCTGGGAATGGAATCTGAACCCCTCAAGGCACAGCCTGTACCCCCTCCTCCTCTGTCCGCCTAGGAATGAGTGTCCCTCTTGGGTGCACAGGGGTTCAAAGTCATCTCTGTTTCATATATGATG